CCAGGGGCCAGTTTCACCAATACAGACCTCGACTGTGGCTGAGGCAAACCAAATGATTACAAGTTTGGCACATGTCTAAATTTAGTCATTGACTATGTTAAGTGGGACAAAGAATTCTGGGTAAATGGAGGCTTTTAAAGAACAAAAATGGCCATAATACCTGCTCAGCAGTGTTTACCCCAGCAGACACAAAAATAGAGATAAGCAAAGAGTGTTGGACGCTTCTGTGGCGTAAAGTCTCAATACATACAGCAGAGCTGAAATCTTTTGGCTTCTCTGTGTATACGAGCTTCTGAGAATAGATTCACTCACACGGACAAACAAAGCCAGCTGCCTGTGTGCACGAGCCATTGATTTTTCCCAAGCTTAGTTAACAGCAGTCTAACCTTGTGTAATTTTAACCCAAGTCTTTTATTTTTGCAGTGCAGTCAAACTGATATTAGAGCGTAGTTAAGCCTGGTCTAAAATGTCCTCTGAACAATGAACAGGCAGCAGCTGTTGGAGGAGCTCATGCTAAGCTGCACTGAGGTTGATGATAAGAGGAGAGCAGCTCTGAAATATTTTTGGGAAGGCCTTCACATGAATGCGTAACATCTGAAAGTAATTCCTAAAACAAGCCTGTAATTCTAAAGAAGCAGCGCTCTCTTTTTCCTTTTGTAGTTAAAAGTTTAAATTCTGAATTTTCTGCTTTTAGAGTTTAGTTAAAACAGTTGAAACCTCACGTAAGTGGTTCCTGATTTTTACCTCATATTTGTCCTCTGCGGTTCAGTTGTGGTGAGACATATATAACATCTTTAAAACACACAAAGTTAAGGTGAAAAAGCCACTGCACGGTGTCTTCTCACCACAGCGTCAGTGTTTATACGATACAATGCAACTTTATTTATATAGCACATTTAAAAACCAACGGTGCTTCACAATAAAACAGCAGCTTAAAACATGAATAATATAAGACCATTAACAAAGTACTGAATATGCTAACAGGTCAGTGTCACAAATTACACAAGAATAAAAGTGAACATCAAATCAAACTTGTTAAAAACACACAGGTTTTAAAGTGATGGTTTGATCTGCACACGCAGGCTTTCTCAAGAATCTCAGTTTGTTTTCTGCTATTTGCATTTCTCCATGAGAAATGTTTCCTCTGAATGTGTCATTATCTTCTTCACTAATCAGTAATAAAGCCGTTTGCTATTCCTACTCATATGTTTCTCCATTAATTTTATTATTATTAATGACATTTTAGTTCACTGGATTAAAAACAAGATTTCAGTATAAAAATAAAATGAGATGATTATAAAACAAACATAAAATATAAAACTACAGTACAGGTTATTCATTTTTTTAACACAGTAATACAAACTGCTGTGGTGATAAATACTACACCTGTCCACAGTTACAAAAATAAACTTAAACAAGCAGAATAATGAGACTAAACTGAATTACATACATAATATAATAAATCGATTTGTGAACTGGTTGAGTAATAATCATACTTTATGTAACCAGCAACAAATAACTTCAATCAAAGATGCACACATTTTAAATGCTGTATAATTAGGAAATCGCTACTTTTTCAATTGCATTACTTGATCAATGTTTAATTAGTTCTTTAATATCTGCAAGATAACTTTGTATTAACTCCTAAAACCTGCATCATACCTGATGGTGAACATCACCGCGCTGCTTTTGTAAGGAGGATTTTATTTGTATTCAAAGTGTTTGGAATTTTTTTACAGAAAACTAAAAAATAAATCAATAAAATAAGTAATTACAGCAGTTATGAAACCTGAACATTAACATCGGGCCGTAATGAAAAAGTATTTTCAGGTATTTATTCACTGGTTGCAGGATTAAATATCCCAATAATCCTGTGATGTCACAGACCTGCTGCAGACGAGGAGAAACAACTTTTTTCCTCTCACTGGTCCAAACTGGTGATTTGACGTGTTCGTTTATCAACAGTTTATGACTAATTATATTGATGAATTGAGACTAATGCAGTATATCACACTGAACATTTTCCACTAATAGAACAATTATAGATGATCGTGTGTGCTGTCTGTGGTCAGTGTAGTTCTCTCTAAAGATCATTTTAAGGACTTTTTTATGTGACGGGTTTGTTACAGATGGTGAAGGTCAGATACACGAGCAGCGAGAATCAGCCTCACTCATCTTTTCTTTGGCTAAGTGCATGCAGTGTGTCAGCAGAGCCCGTCACTGGCTTTCCATGAATTTCCTCCTTTTTTTCCTCCCAGAATGAATAATTCTGAATAAGTCTGTATATGAATAATGAATAATTCTGTATAAATAATAAATAATTATATAAATTAATTATTCATTTTATAATAATATAAAATGAATAATACTTCAGTTTCACATTTAATGCCACTTTTAATTTAATAAAAAGGGGAACCCTTTCAGAAGGTGCCCAGTGGTCGGGTCATATCTGGATTTTTTTGCAAACAGAAAATATTTTTAAAAAGGAAACTTACTGAAACATTGAGACAAATCTACAGCGTGTTTGGAGGAAAATCAGACTTAAAAACACCAAAAGTCATGGAAGACGCCAGCGTTGAACGTGACAGGGAAAATAAAGCAGGAAGCTTCTCTGTGCTTCTCTCATCGACTGTAACTGCTCAGTGAGGTCCGTCACGTCCTGTGCTGAGGGAATGCTTCCTCTTGGTGGAGAGTGAACGGTACTGCATCGCTGTGCAGCTCTCACACAGTGAGGACAGTCGGTCATTGCATCAGAGATTTCTTCTCTTCCCCGTGGAGTCGCTGCAGCTGTCACAACCCAGTCAAATCCACTTTTATTATTATTTATCTCTGTTGGTTGTAGAGAGATTATATTTTGAATATTCGTGGTGATGTCTGGAGTATGATACTTAAACAGAAACTCTGATGGAGGAAAGGTGGTGTTGATGGTGTTGGAGGAATAATGTGCTGGTGCAGAAGTACAGAAGAAAGGCCTCGCTGAGAGTTATCAGTGATGGGACACACACATGTGGTGGGAGTGCTCCCACAGCCACATATAAACAAAGACAGGATTGTACTCAGGACTCGTGTGTGTGTGTGTGTGTGTGTGTGTGTGTGTGTGTGTGTGTGTGTGTGTGTGTGTGTCATACCTCCACACATGCAGACAGTGGATGTTGACTCTACACTCTTTGTCCAGTGTATCCACCGTGGATCTTATTATGGCTGCCCTTTGAATAGCTGCCTGTCGACTTCATCAGATCTTTTTTTCCTCTTCCTTTTCTTCTCTCCTTTCTCCTGAGGTCCCTCTTCCTCTTTTATTCCTCTTTTTTCTTCATTTTCGGGGTTGCTTTGTTCCGCTTGTGCTCCCTCATTTCCTTCTGGGGCTGTAATCATCCTCTGCTCACTGACGGCCTTTTCATAAACCGGTGTTTACCGCTGGCCGCACACTGGATACTCACGTGTAGCTGTGTCGTCCCAGCTGGCTACAATTAATGCTTTGATTTTGGTGATTATCTGCTGGTAGTTAAAAGAAGAGCGGTAATACTTGAAGAAGACAATAGCAGATGTTTTACTTGATTTGGCGGTGATGTTTAGGCGACAGGTTGAATTTGAGCTTGGGCATGCTTTAAAGGGGTTTTCCCCAGTAACATGTTTATTCATGTTTATCATGAAACAAATTAGATATCTAATCTGGGAGGGGGGTGGGGGGTCACAATGAGTAAACCACGCATCATCACGTGATGACACCAGAGTTTGGATGATCATTTTCAAGCTTTGTGGAAGCCCAGAATTTAAATGTAGCATCATGGAGCAAAAGCTAGTTATGGCTGGGTGGCTGTGGCTCAGGTGGTAGAGCAAGTCAGCTGCTGATTGGAAGGTTGGTGGTTTGATCCCTGACTTCCCCAGTCTGCATGTCAAATATCGTTGGGCAAGATGCTAACCCCAAGTTGCCCTCTGATGTGTTCATCGGAGTGTGAATGTAGAGTAGTTTGCACTTGTGTTTAGAAGTGCATGGGTGAATGAGGCGTGTTGTATACAGCGCTTTGAGTACTGTGGGAGAGTAGAAAGGCGCTATATGAGAATCAGTCCAAATTGGGCTACACTTATACAAACACTTTGGTTGTTTTTATGACTTGTAATCTTATGTGCAGCACTTTGTGATTCTGTCTTGAAAGGTGCTATATAAATAAAAAATTATTTATTTATTTTCTCATTTAATGTCAGATTTTAATTTTATGCTTCATGATCTGATTGATAGTCTGATTTTGCAGTGTTTTTTTACACTAAAAATAAATCCAGAGGAAGAGAGAGGTTCTTTGTGATTCCAGCTGATGATAAATATAATAGTAGGATTTTCCTTTTACTATTATATAGTCATAAGTTTGGATATTTTATCCCCCACAATCAAAAGACATGAATAAAAGAGCTCATTATGGAGGAAAAAATCTGTCGTAGTGCTTAGAACAATAAATTAACTTTTATTTTGAAAATATAAATTCTTCCAATTAACAAAACAGACATTGATCTGTTAATCGGTCAGGAGTCCATATACATATATATAATGATACCGTAATAGATGGAATAAATTTTTTAAAAGAAAGAATTATGAGAATTTAGCCTCCGCTTCAGAACATTTTCCACAACTCACCCAGAAACTGAGCAGGTCTCTAAAACCGAAATGATCCGATGACCGACTGAGAGAAAATTAACAGTTTTATCTTAAAAACAAAAGTGACTCATAAACACAGCATCTTGGGACTTGTGATGAACCCATTTGGTTACTTTGTTTAACTTCCTAAAATATTCTTGATGCTTCACGTTTGATTTACGCGTTCTGGACCAGCGGTAGGGGTGCACCGACTTGTGTGTTGTCAGTTGCAGCCTTGTGGATCTGCTATGATGCAAAATGAGTAATAACAAGAACCCTTTGTGTGTGTTTGTTGTGTGTTGGTTGACAGGCAAGAATAAAAACCTTGGCTGTGATCAGTCTGATCAATGAAAATTGTTCTTTGTGTGTGCAGAACATTCGGATGACCGTCGTGTGTGAAGATCCAGATTGTTGGATTAGTCGCCTCCCTCTGACCTCCGATGCCTCTGCAGCAAACTGCTCTATCTACAGCCAAGGTGACTTTTTTTCTAATGCACGACAATAGGATATTTATTTTCTAGCTGCCTTCGAAATCAGAATCTGTGTATCAAACAGCAGAAAGCTGAGATCAAACACAACTGTGCATTTTATGCTGCCAGATTTCCAGTTGTTACTCCCTCCTGTTTGTTTTCAGGCGAGGACTTGTTCTGTAAGGTGATGAAAGAGCTTACGGCCGGTGAAAGGCTCGTGGCGTTCGTGTCTCCTGTTCCACTGGGCTCCCCCTCTCCGGTGGCCCAAGGCTCTCCTCCACTGAGCCTTGTCGCCCACAAACAACCTGTGGTGAAGGAGGAGCCGTCGTACCCGGCAGCGCTGCACTCAGAGATCCAGCTCCTCCCGCAGCAAGCTGGCATGGCAGCAATCTTGGCTACTGCTGTTGTCAATAGTGAGTGTTATATTCAAATCGTATTCACGAAAAGAGCATTTTAAGTAGTTAAAAGTTCAGCCGGCTATTTGCAGAACAATACATATTTTCAATTAATTTCAAATGAGGCAAAAATGTATCAGATATATGCCATGTTAGAACTCGAGACCTCAAGGCTCAGTGTCCTGCAGGTTTTAGATCTCACCCTGGGTCAACACACCTGAATCAATTCGTTTATTACCAGGCCTCTGGAGAACTTCAAACTGGTACCTGCAGCTGTTGTGATTTACTGAAATGTACTTTGTTATATAAATGTAATGTTCTCTTCAGTCACAAGATGGCACTGTAGCGCTTTTAAAACCAGCTGATTAGTTTGTGCCTTCCACTTTAAAGTTTCCCGTTGCTTCTGTGGTGACGTCTGACTGATGGTCAGATAATTCACAATCATCACACACCGGTAGATCTGGTGCCTCTGTGGCAGGAGACTTCTGAAGGCTTCTGTGGTGTGCACACACACCTGCCACTGTATTAGGTACACCTGGGTAGTACCGGGTTGGACCTCCTTTTTCCTTCAGACATGTGTGCAACAATGTGCTGGATTCCCTTTAAACTACAGATGTTTTTGTGGGAAAATCCCACTAAATCAGAGGTTCTGATACTTGAACTTCGGTAGATTGATGTAACCATGGCTACATGCCTAAATCCATGAGGTTTCTGCCATGTGATTGGCCGACTAGATATTGGTTGATGTGTTGATGAGCAGTTGAACTGGTTTAAATAATGAAGTGAGTAAATTTGGAAATAGTCTATAGTAATTGAAAATGTATACATATCTCAAAACTGTAAACCACAAGTCTGTGAGATTACAATTAGACTACAATTAAAACTTTGTATAACTGTAGCAGGCAAACTTAACCTCATCCTTACTTTTGCTAATTAAACCAGTGCTTTTCAGGTTCTTGAACCAATATTTGTGTCTGTGTTTGACTGACTAGCTGGTGTGTACTTGTTTTTGCTGAACAGAGGACATTTTCCCATGTAAGGACTGTGGGATCTGGTACCGTAGTGAGAGGAACCTGCAGGCCCATCTTATGTACTATTGTGCCAGCCGTCAGAAGCAGCCAGCTGCAGCTTCCTCCCCTCCACAAGACAAACCCAAGGAGTCGTACCCCAATGAACGCATCTGCCCCTTCCCACAGTGCAACAAGAGCTGCCCCAGTGCCAGCTCACTCGAGATTCACATGCGCACACACAGTGGTGAGAGCAGTATTTATATCTATGCATAAAAGACAAAGGGTCAGAGCATCTGGGCCTGACTGTTATCCTTCTCCATCCTTCCACAGGCGAGCGTCCATTTGTCTGTCTCATCTGTCTGTCAGCATTCACCACTAAAGCGAACTGTGAGCGGCACCTTAAGGTCCATACGGACACCCTGAACGGGGTGTGTCACGGCTGCGGCTTCGTCTCCACCACGAGGGACATCCTCTACAGCCATCTGGTCACCAGCCACATGGTTTGCCAGCCTGGATCTCGCAGTGAGGTGTACTCTCCGGGGCCAGGTCTCCCTAAGCTACCCCTGTCCATCGGTAAGTCATTCCGTCATATTCTGTTATTTTTTATACTTGGATTACGTAGCAGTAACTTTAAAAGGTTCACTGCTGGAAAGCCGGCACGTTGGCCCTTTTTTGTCCTTTAACCCTCTTGAGATTGTTGGAAATTTTGGACATGTTTAATCTGAGTAATCTGAGATTTTGAATAAAATTTGAATAATCTATTCAAATGTAAGCGACTGTTTTAATTTACTAACCTTGACTCTCCCGTTAAGGTCTGAGTCCAGGAGACTCTGGTGTTGTGCTGAAGTGTCAAGTTTGTGGCCACAATGCTGACTCACCTGCTCAGCTCCAGCAACATGTACGAACTCACCTGGAAGTCAGGGTCCCAGCTGAAAGAAGCCCTACTCCTCGTCAGAGTACCCCATCGTCGGTCGACCACCCCCAACCGTCTCCCCAGGAGAAGGAACCCCTAGCTTCATCCAGTCCAGGCACAAACGGAGGCTCAGCCACTCCTCGAGACTGCAGTCCTGCTGATGACCAGATCATGGAGTTAAAGATCAAAGAGGAGCCTCATTCAGATTCAGACACAGAAGAGCAGAAAATGGAGATTAAGGAGGATGGAGAGGAGGAGGAGGAGGAGGAGATGGGTGGAGAGGAGGTAGATCAAGAGGCAGGAAGGAACATAAAAGAGGCGCAAACGACCTCCTCCAGCCAAACATCGAACTCGCCGAAGAGTCCAGCTACAACAACAGTGAAGGCAGAACCCACTAGTCCCACCCCTGGTTCTAGCCCCGCCCATATGGGAGGTGCAGGCTCAGTTGTTCCAGGAGGAGCGCTGTTCCTGCCTCAGTACATGTTTAACCCCGAGGCAGCCATCTTGCCTCAGGCCTCGGAGATCCTGGCTAAAATGTCAGAGATGGTCCACAGTCGCCTAAAGCAGGGCCAGACGGTCGCCCAGAACAACGCCGCAGCCTTCTTTCCTTCTGGACCGACTGCACCCACGGCAACAGCCACTCCACCTCACAAAGGAGCTACCTGCTTCGAGTGCGATATCACCTTCAATAACATCAACAATTTCTATGCACACAAGAGGCTTTATTGCTCAAGCAGGCATCAAGGCGAAGGTGCATCCTCAGCCTCGGGCCCCGCATTGACTAGAGACGCAGCCTCGGCCGCCGCGCCTTCTGCTGGGACACGCGGCTCATCTGCATCTCCTCAGGGCGGAGCATCAAGTAGGGCCGCCTCTGCCTCGCCGTCTGACTCCGAGCCTCCTGCAGGAAGTGGAGCAGCAGAATCCAGGAGGGTGCTGGAGGTGAAGACTGAACCTCCAGCGGGGACAGAGGGAGTCCCGTCCTCTTCTGAAGGGGAAGGTGCTGGTACGAGTGTAGGAGGCGGAGGAGGCGGAGGAGGACGAGCAAGTGAAGGCAGCCAGAGTCCTGCTAGCGGTTCCACAGAGGACCTTGACGACGATCCCAACAGAACCTTCTGCGAAGCCTGCAACATCCGTTTCAGCCGTCACGACAACTACACTGTCCACAAACGTTTCTACTGTGCGTCGCGCCACGACCCGTCCAACCAGAGAGCCGTACACATGGCCAAGACCACCAACACAGCCGCCTTCATTCCGCAGCCCATCCGAACACGCAAAAGAAAGAAGATGTATGAGATTCACATGGCAAGAACCGAGGCGTTAGCTAACGCTGCCGCTGCAGCAGCAGCAGCGGCAGCCACTGCCGCCGCCTCTGCTCCATCCCCCTCGGTTCTGGGCTTGGTAGTAAAGCAGGAAGTCTCTCCCAGTGGTGCAGGTGGCTCAAGTCCCGAAGGAGATGGCCCAATCGACCTGAGCAAGAGGCCCCGTCTCAGAGAGGCTCCACGGCACAGCGGCAGCAGCAGCGGCGGCGGCAGCAGCATTCTCCCAGCCCTGCCTCTCACCGACTACCACAAGTGCACAGCCTGCAGCATCAGTTTCAACAGTATTGAGAACTACCTGGCTCATAAAACATACTACTGCCCTGCCACCACCCTCCAACCCCACACTTTGGAGCAGCTTCACAGGCTCAAGAGATCAGCCTCCACCTCTCCAAAAAGCAGGCCTCAGCAGGAGCGTTCGGATCTCCTGCACCCTGTGGAGAATAAAGCTCACCCAGCTGAGTGGGTGGCCCAGGCTCAGGGCACGTCATCCAGTCCTCACACCTCTGCCTTACCCGCCTCGGATGCTGCATCTCCTTCGCATACAAATACCACACTTGCAGCCTCTCCAGGAGCTGGAGCCAAAAGCGTGGTCACGGCTTCTGCTCAGATGGTCTGCCCATACTGTCCCAACAGGCCCATCGCTGGTGACTTGATGGACCATTTCAAGACTACCCACGGGCTGGTCGTAACCATTCAGCCACCCCAGGAGACTCTGCCCCATCTGGGCAGAACAGCGAGCCGCAGCCCGAGCCTGAGTCCCAGGGATGGAGCCGCTGCAGCGACTTCAGCTACTCCAACCAACCAGGCCAGACTTGTCTCTCGAGTTCACAGAGACAGCATCAACGGGCAGGGTAGGAGTGGTACCGCTTCCCCTGTTTCGCCCCTGGTGAACGGCAGCCCCTCCGCCGGGGGCGGATCACCGTTAGCCAGTTCTCCTCTGCCTGTGTCTCCCCCAAGGGCTCCGTCTCTGACTTTGTCACCTGTGCCTGAGGTCCTGAGGGAGAAGCTGGGATCGTCACACGTTCCGGACAAGGCCGCCCAGACCGTGGCCTCCCACATCCCTGTACCCAGCGTCAGTCCTAAAACCACCCCAGTCATCTCCCCTGTGCAGAACGGTAACTCGCGCTTCTGTCGGCTGTGCAACATCAAGTTCAGCAGCCTCTCCACGTTCATAGCTCACAAGAAATACTACTGCTCTTCCCACAGTGCCGAACATGTTAAGTGAGCTAAGACACTTTTGATCTTTCCCTTCCCTTTCATCTTTCTGAGCGGAAGTTTTCCTTCACTAAGTTTTAAATGGCTCAGAGGGTCCTCCTCCTCCCCCGCCAGTGTCCCACATAGGTGCCAAAACGGTGCTCGGCTGGCATCACCACGAATGACAGTGAATGACTGTTACTCACCTGGCAAGGCCCGATGCCTGGCTCCTCCAGAGCAGAATTCCCAGGTGGTGTTACTCACATACAGACACTGAAATTCCTCCTTTGGGTCAAAGTGTGTAGTACACTAAGAGCTGAGACACATGCTACCTGCACACTGGTGTGCCCTCGTCCCGAAGATCACTCTTTGTACACCAGTCGCTGATTCAACACTTACCACACCCTCGCCTCACAGTAGTGTTATTATGGGACGCTAAATAGATGTATGTCAGCAAAACCTTTTTTCTGTCTCTGAACTGAGCTTTTCATGGCAGTAATTCCATTCTGACTGATGATGATGATGATGATAGTGCATCTCCAGTGTTTCCCCGCCCCCTGAGCTCTTTTACGTTCCCAGACCTAAACGGAGGAATCATTTCTCTTGTGTGGAAAAAAAAGACTTGATCATTGTTGATGTTTTTATTATCTGTGCATAGTGTATGATGTCTGAAAAGAAAAGAATTCTATGCTTTTGGGTTCAACACTGGCTCTTTTCTGCTTACTAGAGAAGCTGAGGCATTTTAGCTGACACACAGATATGTGCTATCACGATGTTACTTATTACTGAAGGATAATATTTCAAAATGGGACTTTTTTTTTCCTTTCATACACACAAATTTTTATTTTCTCTGTAAAAAAAAATGCAAGGAAGAAGAAAAAAGATGTGAAATATTTATCTTTTAGTCATCACTGATTTCATGTCAACAGAAAACTACCTACTTAGTGTCCGAGAGTATTTGTATTTTTTATTTGTATATTTTTCATACTGGTGGAAAGAACTGTTTGGATCTGGGTGTGTTGAAGTGAATTTTCTAAGTGTAGATATGTAATATCTTTTCACAGTAATCACTGGGATCACACTGAACTTTATCATGTTAGTATTTCTCGTTCTGTTAATGTGGGCTGTAATCGATGCCGTCTGAAAACCAGCACAGCTTTTCTTTTTTTGTCTTTCTGTTTTTAACCCCACGATTCGTGCAGAACAGCTGTTTGTTTCCAGACCGTCACGTCCGAACATTGAAGGGAGCTCGTTGGACGCTGCTGCGTTCACACTTTGGTGAGAGTGACGAAGCTTTCCACATATAAGGGTTACACGAAAATCCACATTTTCAGTAAGACGTTTGTCTTCAGATACACACACACACACAGCTTTAATTATTTGTTGCAAACTTCACTCTCATACTAAGGCATATTTATTATTACGATTGTACTTCTCTCCGGCAATGAAGGCAAAACAGTGAACAGTCACATGTTGGTGTAAGACCTCACAAAAGAAAAGTAAGCACATATAACCATATGTTGTGGCTGTGGTGTGTGTGTGTGTCTCATTTGTGCACAGACACACCAGATGTTCCCGTGCTGCTGTTGCAGTTGCAATACAGTGTTACCTAGAACTGTGAATTACTTTTTATTTTTCCGACTTTGATGCAAACTAACCTGTAGATGCCGAGGGGTAAAAATCTGCATCTACATCACAGCGTTTATTCCCCCCCCCCCAGCTTCTCTCAGGATTTTAGCTCTTTTCATTGTGAGCCATTAAAACCGACTCAGACTTTCAAGCGACACTAAAAGTACAGTTTTAAATAGCAGACTGTTAACTAACCCCACCGCCAGGTCTTCAAGAAACAAATCTAAATGTAAAGTAATAGAGCTAAAATCATTCCTGGTTTTCACAGACTCCTTAAATATTCAGCCAAATTTCACTTTACTTTTTTGACAGTGTGAGTTGTCCATCTTTATATACAGTCTGTCTTGTGATCCTGACGTCCACGCATTAAGTATTTTTTTAAGATGCAGCTTTCGGCCCCTCGCAGACGGTTCCAGATGACTGAAAATGGGCCTCATTCAGAAATTCAGGAGCCATTTAATGTCACGATCCCCCGTGTTTACATGGTTTTCTTCATGACTTTAAGCTTGTGGTTATTTTGCCAACTTGTTGGTTTGGCATGCTCTTAACAGCACTTGGATTGTGTTTTTGCATTTAACGCAGACACAAGTCCACGTATGTGGAACTAAAGCTGTAGTAGAATTTGGACCTGGTCCGATTGATTGGTGTCCCGGGAGCTGCAAAGATGTTAATGGAACAGGTGTAATATCACCAAGAAAGCTTTTTGTGCGTCCATCCACACTGAAGGGGTTTTTCTGCAGGGAAGCAGTGGATCACCTGGTTTTAAGAGTCTTCAGCTGTTTACAAATTCAGGGGGAAAACGTGCACCTAACCACACCCTGGGGGTGTAAAGGGGCTAAAGGAGCATCATATTGGGGGTCAGAGGTCACTGGAAAATTCTCATAAGTAACCTTTAAAGATGTAAGAAACAAGGCAAAGCAGTTATTGACATCCTGCAGTCACAGCAAGATTAGAAAACTAAAAGCAGAACCCTTTTTTATGCTGTGTTCTTCTTCAGAATCTCCTCAGAAACTTTTTTTTTTGCCTCTAAATATCCACATTTTTGTAGTTGGTCTCTGTTTTTTTAAAGATGTTGTTTCAGAGACACTGGACCAAAACAGTAACATAACACAGTGTAGAACAAAATGATCGACCAGCGCAGTTTTAAAGGATACGTATACCGACTCGTTGGTTTTCATACTTAAGATTATATCATATAGATAAATTTTTCATAATTCCAGTTCTTTTTAAATTTAGGAGACATTACCTGTTCCTGTTTAGCTTGGAGCACCAGTGCACCAGACTCATCACACTGCTGTGGTCTTAAAAGTAAATGGCCTGCATTTGTATAGCGCATTCACACACAGGCAACGG